TTAAAAAAATTGGCAAAACCTTATGTTAAGCCCTCGAACTTACCCTACCCTAGATTCTCAATTAAGTTCTTAGATTTTTATTAAAGCAAATAAGTCCTTAAACTTGAAGATTTGGGTAATTTAATCTTTTTCCTTATAGCAAATTTAATACTCGTTTGTGTCTTATTTACGTGGACAAGGTTAATACCCTTCATGTAAGCAATGATATGTTGGTACCTTATCTACACAAATGAGCATTAAATTCGCAGTAAAGAAAGATAGTTAAATTGCTTAAATTACTGAGTTCATAGATTTATTTGCTTCAATAAAAGTTTCAAGGCTTTATCCAGAATTTGGAATAAATTTGAAAGCTTAACATAAGGTTTTCTTTATAAAAAATTAGAGTTCAATGTTACATTCCATTCAATTAAAATTCAATTCAAAAATTTGAAAATTTACTTTATTAAATATTAATACCTACATTTGGCAATTGAAAACCCAATTTAAAATTCAAAAATTTATTTTATTAAATGGTGATAAATAGATTTAGAAGCTGGTTATATTTACAAATCGATTATATTAGAATATATATTTAGTTGCCAAATGTATGCATCCATATTTAATAAATAAGGGGTAAAACCCTACATTATGTCCTCAAACTTACTCTAAATTCTCAATTAAGTCTTTAAATTTTATTGAAGCAAAAAAATACGATTTAGGCAATTTAACCCATCTTCTTTACAATTGATGTAATGCTCATTTGTGCATTGTTTGAGTGAATAAAATATTTATATGTCATTGCTTATGTTATAGGTAATGACTTTATTTATATAAATAAAGTAGAAATAAGTATTAAATATATCATAATAAAGATGATTAAATCACTTAGATCGGTTAGTTCAAGGGATTCTTTGTTGAAATAAAAGTCAAATTGACAAGTTAAAGGCCTTGTATACAGCTCCACATCTCTAACATCGGCATCTCCTTTTCCATTTTCAATTTTAACTTTTGGAAAATGATATGTGCACCCGAGTGTGTACACTCCCCTTTGAAAAAAAAAAAAATACCCATCACCCACCTGGTCCAATTTTTTTTTTTTAATAGGGGTGCACACCCGGGTGTTGGATCCGGATGTGCACCAATCAAGGTCCTTAACTTTTTTAGGTCAAATCTCCTGTTTATATTCTAGACATTTTTTTTTTTTACAATCAATACCATTTAAAAATTTCATTGTCGATCAATTTTCTCCAAATTTTGAAAGCTAGAAAAAAACCCAAAAGATAATGAGAAGACCTGTTATTTACTTTCAGACTTTATGGATATTTTAAAGTTTTTCATGAACTTTAAATGATAAAAAACGTTGATTATAAAAAATAATAATATTCATGTAAAAATAAACGTGTTGGTTCTTTT